TGTATGTGTGTGTGTGTGTGTGAGAGAGAGAGAGAGAGAGAAAGAGAGTGTGTGTGTGTGTGTGTGTGTGTGTGTGTGTGTGTGAGTGTGTGGTGGTTTGGGGGAGTTCAATGGAAAAGAGGGTAAGTGAAGATGGATGAAACAAGTTCCGTGAAGTGAGTGGGGTGACGGGAGAAGAGGGGAACAGGTGGCTTGTCCTGCCAGGTGAATTTTCCATGGGTCTATGTTTATAAAATGACTATGTCTCTAAAATACACACAAAGACTATCAACAATGCTGGAAAGTACAATTGGTGGGTCAATGGAAGACTGACTCATTTTGTCTCTTTTGCCCCAAATCTGAATCACAAAAATACATCATATAAAAGACAGACTAAACACTGGAGGGGAAAAAAAGCACAACCCTGCTTTTAAGATTTATGAGCCGAGGGCAGCAAATCTGTGCCAGATTCAAAATTCAAAATTGTGTGATGTGCATTCTTGTCCACCTACACACCATCCCCAACATCCTGCCATTAATTAGGCAAATGGTCCATTCAGTAAACAAAGCTAAGGAGGCTGGGGAAGCACTGGAGTCAGAGAGTTGAGAGTCAACAAACCAGGCCACTCCCTAGGGCAGGAGAAGGTAAACTCATATTTTATTTTCAGCCAGGGCAGGGAAGAATGACCTCGGTGCACCATTTTCTCTCTTGTAGCAGGCACAGCCATGGTCCCCTCAGCAGGCCAGGAAAGCCATCCCACTCCTTCGGTAGGCACTCTGTCAAAGACAAAGGAATCTGCAATGAATTATCACATCAAGTCCAACAAGCAGAGGAAGCAGAGGCTTTTCTTCCTGTTTTGTAGACTGCTGGCTGCCAGCTAATAGGATGCTTAATATGAATAGTTCCGGTGGCACAACTCTAGCGACCATTCTGTCTATTAAGTCAGTGTGGTTAACAAGTGGTTAGGGAGTCTATTTTGGGGCAGTGGGTGATATGCAAAATAAGGCATCCCATTTTGTCCTGTTAATGGATTGCTGTTGGTTCAGCCAAGGAAGGGCTGTGCTGGGTCTGTTTGTCTTTTGGAAACATGTGTTCTCTATTCCACATGCTCCACAGTCAGCTCTAACTAAGCATTGTAATAGTCTATAAATTACTGACTCACTACTGTCTTCCCAGGCCTGGTTTATAGTCTGGAGGGGAAGGCTGTGGGAACGGACACCAATGGAGGCCTTTCGTCCTCTCCACAGTGTGGCGATCTAAAGGCACACTGCACATTACTGGCAGTACAGCTTATCTGTAGATGCACATGGAGGCAGACATACAGATGTTCATGGTAGGATAAATGGTCACTTTCAAAACCAGACACTGGTTGCAATAATGTATTCCAGGTCAGGAAGGTAACACTGTCTTTTATCTCCTGCTGAGGAGTTTGCATTTTGGAATGGGAAGAGCAGGCCAATGATGACTTCTCATGACTTCTGGAATCTTACTTTGTGCTGAAGAGGAGCACAACTAAGAGTAAGGACAGAGAACAAGAGCCCCTCACTGGCATGTAACATATCATTTAACTGGCAAGTCACATTCAAGCCTTCAATTATTTGATAATGTGTTTTTAGAAAAAGGGGCAAATGACAAAAACCTCATAATAGGGCCTCTTGCCCCTCTGAGGCCAGCAAGTCTGGGGCTAGCCTGGAGTTCCTGCATTTTCAGCACAACAGCTTTACTATCAGCAGTCATCTTGTAGGAAGTTATCACAGAGGCAGGCAGCCAAGATGGCAGAACAGACATCCTTGTGCATAGCTAGCTGTGCCACCTAAGAGTCAGGAAGAGAGTGAAACTCTGAAAATCAGCAAGGAGCTAGAGAAAAGAAGAAAGTAAAAGTGCACCTTCAACCCCTCCAGGACAGGGGTGAGAACAGAGAAGTGGGAAGAGGCAGCAACTCCTGGAATAGCAGCCTCGCCAAGACCTGCTCTGACCCCAAAAACGGAACTCCCTAACCCGCCCTCCCTCCCCAACTCAAAGTGCCACAGAAGCATATGGCTAGATGCCAATGTTCCTTAGGGGCCAGGAGCCAATCCCCTGACACCATAAGAGGACCTGGGCTGTTGTATTTTTTACTGGGTGGAAGACAGTCCTTTCAGTGTCCTGTAGCTTCAGGACCATAGACTGTGACAGTCATAAGTCTGAGTCCATGCTTGCTTGCCTCATGGCACCTTGTAAAGGTCTTTTTAACCCACAGCATTGGGACTATGGCTACTGTTGTAAACTCCAGGCCTGTCTACAAACTCCATTGGGATCCAGGAAGGTTCTAGCTCATTGCACAGCTCCAGGAATGTAGCAGCTAGCAGCCCAACCTCTAGCACCTCTGTGTATATACAGATGAAAGTCGGGCAGGTTGATCTCCCAGCCCGCAGCCTGTTCCTGGCTACCACGGGCAGGTCATAGCCATGTCGTGCAGATACAGAGCTGTGGTTATCAATGTTTCAAACCTTGTCCCCAGCTGAGCTTTGTCTCTGTAAACTGAGGACAAGCCTATTCGTCTTATGCTCTAGTAGGGTGGATACCAGAGCCACACATCTCAGACTACTGTGCTCAGCCCATGGGGTCTAGTGAAGGTCTCCTCCGTGTCTTATGTCTCCAGATGTGTGGATACATTTGTCATAAGCCCAAATGTTACATGCATAGGTCTGTCTTGGGAGACCTTGGGGTGATTTCTTCCACAGTCCACTGCCTTTGGACCATAGCTGGTGACAAAAACCCTGATGATGTTATGAACATCCTTTGGGGCCAGGAGATGGTCCATGGCTCTGTAAAGGTGTCTAACAGTGTTACTAGTCCCATTCCCAAGATACATGCAGGACCTAGGGTAGGTCTTGTTTGTGTTGTACAATCTTGAGCCCCTGGTTACTAGTGCCATAAATGCCAGCATCATCTGTGGTCATCCTGTGGGACCTGGGGAAAGTCCAATTCTTTCCTGTGGCTTCAGAGGACACAAGCTGTGACATCTCCCACACTCATCCTGAGAGTCCTTCACATACTGTGACTTGGAGACTCTGAATATTGATACCATAAACATTTGTGTCTTCCATGATTCCTCCCAGGTATGACAACAGCCACCACAAGTCCTAGTATTAGCAGTGTTTGATTTTGCAAAGTCTGAAGACACACACCTTTGGAAGCAAGTTTATTGCTAAGTTTTACAACTACATCCATAAAATGTTTTATGAGCAGCTATAGTTTAGACTATGGATGGCATCAAAGACAAAGAAATGACATAGATGTTTGGAGCTCCATTATAACCAAACTCATAGCACTGATCTATCTGGCATCTGACATCCCATTTAAATGAGAAGTAAAACAAAACAAAATCTCAAAACTCCCTAGAAGAATTGCTTCATAAAATTAGAGGCAAATGTAAAGCCAGATGCACAGACATCAGTGTAGGAATGCTGATAAGATGATAGGAAGCATGATACTTCAAGAAATAGTTGTTCTTCACAATAGATTCCAATTTAAAGAAAATACAACTAGCCCCTAAAAAAATTCCAAATTTAATGACCCTAAGTAAACTCACTAGATAAAAGAGAATACTGATGCATGATATGAAGAAATCTTAAAAATAACTTAGGATACTAATGAGAAATTCACCAAAGCATAGAAATTATAAAGGAGAATTACCTGAAAGTTTGGAGCCAAAACTTTAATTAATGAAATTAATTATAAAGCAGAGAAGTTACATAAAAGAATAAACAGAACAAAGAAAATTTCTGAACTCTAGAATTGACTTATTCATCTCAACAAAACAAAATAAATCAGATGAAGAAAGCACACAAAACTTAGAGCACATTTATGTAAACAAGTATCTGTACTATGGGAATTTCACAAAGTGAAAAAACATGAAACCTATCACAAATAATAGATGAAGAAGACCCAACTCTTCAAAGAGATATGGTCACCCAAATATAAAGAAACTCAAAGGATCCTGATTGCATTTAAAGAAAATAGATTTTCAATTAAAACCTGTAATCTAATGCTAAAAGTACATGACCAGGAGAATCCCGAAATTCAGCAGGAGGAAAGCATCAAGTCATAGAAAAGGGAAAGCCCATTACACTTATAGCAGATCATTCAACAGATCAGTTATAGGTCACAAGAGGGTAGGATGGCATATGTAAAATATTGAGAGAAAAAATAAAAACTCTGCCCACTAAGAATATTATACCCAACCAAATAATCCTCAGAAATGAAGAGGAAACAAAATGTTCCTCAGAGAAGCAGGCACTGAGGGAAATCACCATCATTAGGTCAGCCTTACAAGAGACACTTAGGGAAGTCACTCATGAAAAACAAAAGTGTGATAATTACCAGTGTGAAACCACTAATATCTCAGGCCGGGGAGACGGCTCACTGATGAAGAGCACTTTCCCCTTCTGGAGCATCTGCATTCAGTTCCCAGAACCCACGTGGGGCAGCTCACAAACACCTGTAACTCTAGCTCCAGGGGATCAGATGCCTTCTTCTGGCCTCCGAGGGCATTGCATGTTCATGGTGCACGTGTGTACACTCAGACACACACATAAACATAAAATAAATAAACAGATCTTTAAAACAAAAGCAACAACTAAAAAACCCACAAATATTAAAAACTCAGTAGTAGAACACAGAAGAGAAGAAAAATCAAACTTCAGTGTGACAGATCCACCAAACAATACAAACAACTAGAAGGAGGTTAGAAAAGAATAATTTACAACAAACCACCCCAAACCCAGAATATAACTGAATAAAATAAAAGGAAAAATTTCATGTCTGTCAATAATAGCCACAAAGATAAATGGGTTAAATTCATCAACAAAAATGCAGGGAATAGCAGAATGGGTTAAAAATACAATAATCAACTATACACTGCTTACAGGAAATTTACTTCACCAGTAAAGATTTAGGATTGGAAAAGGATAGACAACAAATACAAAACAAGTTAGCAAGAGTCACTATATCATTAGAACAAAGCAGACTTTAAATAAAAAAACTGCCAAAAGTCAAAGAGGCTCCTTATATATTAGTGAAAGGATAAATTCAGCCAGAAGGAACAATATATCTACATTTACCCATCCTGGCATTCCTTTATATTAGCCACAAAGGAAGAGATAGACTCTAATACAATACTTTTTGGGGACTTCACCTCTCCACTTTTGTCAATGGGCGATGACGAGAGTTTTAAAATCTTAAAAACATTGTTATTTTATGTGTATGAAAGTTTTGCCTATGTGTATGTATGTGCCTTCTGTCCTCTGAGTCTAGAAGAAGGTGTCACAACCCTGGAACTGGAGTTACAGATGGTTATGTGGGTGTTAAGAACTTCACCCCAGGTCCTCAGCATAGCAGAAAGTACTCTTAGTCACTGAGCTGTCTCTCCAGATCCTCAACAAGCAAATATCTTAGTTCAATCATAATTGTAAAGTAAATGGACTTTACAGACATTTACAGAACATTTTACTGAGGCAGAATCCACATTCTTCTCATCAGCACTTGGAAACCTCCAGGACAAATCATCTGTTGTGCCAGAAATGAAGTCATAATAAACTTCAAAAACTTGAAATCATATTATCTGCTTAGATTACAATAGCTCAGAACTATGAATCACCAAGAAGAAAGTATATAGCATGTTAACCAGTGAGTATGCTGAATGAGCGGGAAGGGAAATGGACATTTCTGAAACAAATGAAGATGACAACACACCAAACATGAGGATTGTAATAGATCAGGAAAGTCACCACAAACGCCACACCAAAACAACA